CCCCTGCTCTTTACGGGTTCTATTCTGCATTTTCTTCCATATCATTCATCCCAGTAAGTACGTTGTTATTTTACTGTGTAGATTTGGTACTTGGCCCTCCAGTATCTTCCACGTGTATATTATTTGATATCTCTCGTCTTCTTTCTAGTGAGTACATTTGGAGGGCTTTGAGACGATCCCAATAATATAGATGCTTTATTGCGTCTATGTATGCCGTATATGTTCTCTGTATTCCCTCTATTTCAGCACTCTCTCCTGCTCTGAAGTGGGAAGTGAGTACTGAGCATTACTCAAGATGTGACAACACAAGTGGCTTGAAGAGCACAACCATTGTGATGGGATCTCTGGATTTGAAAGTTCTCATAATCCATCCAATCATTTTTCTGCTGACACAATATTTGCTTGGTTATGCTCCCTAAACATTAGGTCATCAGACATCATTATTCCCAAATCTTTTACATGCTGTTTTCCTACTATGGGCACATTTGATTGTGTTTTGTACCCTGTATTATGTTTAAGATCCTCATATTTACCATACCCGAGTACCTGGAATTTATCACTGTTAAACATCATGCTATTTTCTGTTGCCCAGTCAAAAACTTTATTAATATCTGCTTGTAGTTTTTCAATGTCTTCAGCCGAGGTAATTTTCATGCTGATTTTTGTGTCATCTGCAAAGGATGATACGAAGCTGTGACTTGTATTTTTGTCTTTATCTGATATGAGAATAAGGAAAAGCAGTGGTACAAGGACTGTACCCTGAGGTACAGAGCTTTTAACTGCACTTGGACCCGATTTTATGCGATTTGACTGTTACTCGTCGAGTCCTGTTTGACAGAAAACTGAGTATCCAGCGTCCTACTTTACCAGTTATTCCCATTGACCTCATTTTGTGTGCTGTCACTCCATGGTCACATTTATCGAAAGCCTTTGTGAAGTCCGTGTATACCCCATCAGCTGATTTTCTTCTAATGCTTCAGTGACTTTGTCGTAGTGATCAAGTAGCTGTGAGAGGCATGACCTTCCCGCTCGAAATCCATGTTGGCCTGGGTTGTGTAGGTCATTGGTCTCCATGAAATTGATGACCTGACTCCTAATCACTCTCTCAAATACTTTTATTATGTGGAACGTTAGTGCAACTGGTCTATAATTCTTTGACAATGCTTTCCTCCTGGGGGGTAGAAATAGCCTAAGCTACTCTATCCCTTTGAGATGTATTTATTGCTTATCTCAATAAACATACTTGAACTTGAACTTTGCTTTCCTCCCTCCCTTGTGTTGAGGGGCTATGTCTGTTACTTTAAGTGCATCTGGTATCTCTTCCATGTCCAAGCTCTTCCTCCACACTATTCTGAATGCCTGTGCTACCGGCACCTTGCATTTCTTTATAAATATTGAATTCCATGAATCTGGACCCGGAGCCAAGTGCATGGGCATGTTTTCAATTTCTCTTTCAAAGTCTAGTATGCTCGTGTTGATATCAGTTATATTTACAGGGGTTTGGATATCACACAAAGAAATTGTCTGGATCTTCCACTTTCATATTGTCTATTTGAGTACTAAACATGTCCTCATACTACATTTTTTAGAATTTCACTAATTTCTTTGTCATCCTCCTTGTATGAACCTTCACTCGTACGAATAGGTCCATTACTGGCAGTGGTTTTACCTTTTGATTTCGCATGTGAAGAAGTATTTTGAATTTTTCTTTATTTCTAAATTGCTTTCTGTTCTAACTGCCTTTCTTCAGTTTGATATGAGTGTTTCCATTTTCGCTTGTTTTCTTCAATCTCCCTATTTAAATTATTCCTTCTTTGACGGGAAAGTCGTGTCTGCTTAAGCATATTCATTATTTTTTCCTTCTTTTATAGTGTCGCCTGCATTCTCTTTCTACGTTGAATCTCTTTCTGGCTTTCCTCAAAGGAACATTTTTCAGACAGACGATACAATTCTGAAGTCAGTTTTTCAATTCCTTCTGTAGGACATGTATTACTTAGAACAGTTTCTTAAACGATGTTCTTCACCAGCTCCAATAAGTTAATGTAAGTTAATGTACTAACATGTGTCTCATTATACTTCAACATTCTCTCAATCATCTCCCACACTCAAAGTGTTAGTGTATCACCTGTATGTATCATCCTGTGTTTCTTCATATTTCCAAGACGACTGAATCTCTTTCCACACACTATACACTCATGAGGTTTGTGACCAGAATGCACTGACATGTGACACATTATATCACCACGTGTTTTAAATTTTTTGCCACACTTGGCACATTCAAAAGGTCTTTTATCCGTATGTACCACCCTGTGTCTCTTCATACTTCCAAGGAGACTGAATTTCTTCCCACACTCTGGACACTCGTGAGGTTTGTGACCTGAATGCACTAACATGTGCATCTTCATACCTCCAAGACGACTGAATCTCTTCCCACATTCTGGACACTCGTGAGTTTTATGACCTGAATGCACTAACATGTGCTTCCTCATATCGTTAAGACCAATGAATCTCTTCCCACACTCTGGACACTCATGAGGTTTATGACCTGAATGCACTAGCATATGCTTCCTCATACCTCGAAGACAACTGAATCTCTTTCCACACACTATACACTCATGAGGTTTGTGACCAGAATGCACTGACATGTGACATATTATACTACCACGTGTTTTAAATTTTCTGCCACACTCGGCACATTCAAAAGGTCTTTTATCCATATGTACCACCCTGTGTTCCTTCATACTTCCAAGGCGACTGAATTTCTTCCCACACTCTGGACATTCGTGAGGTTTGTGACCTGAATGCACTAACATGTGCATCTTCATACCTCCAAGACGACTGAATCTCTTCACACACTCTGGACACTCATGAGGTTTATGACCTGAATGCACTAACATGTGCTTCCTCATTTCGTCAAGATGACTGAATCTCTTCCCACACTCAGGACACTCATGAGGTTTATGACCTGAATGCACTAACATGTGCCTCCTCATATTGTAAAGACGACTGAATCTCTTCCCACACTCTGGACACTCATGAGGTTTATGACCTGAATGCACTAACATGTGGTTCCTCATACCTCGAAGACAACTGAATCTCTTTCCACACACTATACACTCATGAGGTTTGTGACCAGAATGCACTGACATGTGACATATTATACTACTACGTGTTTTAAATGTTCTGCCACACTCGGCACATTCAAAAGGTCTTTTATCTGTATGTACCACCCTGTGTTCCTTCATACTTCCAAGGCGACTGAATTTCTTCCCACACTCTGGACATTCGTGAGGTTTGTGACCTGAATGCACTAACATGTGCATCTTCATACCTCCAAGACGACTGAATCTCTTCCCACACTCAGGACACTCATGAGGTTTATGACCTGAATGCACTAACATGTGCTTCCTCATATCGTTAAGACGACTGAATCTCTTCCCACACTCTGGACACTCATGAGGTTTAAGAACTGAATGCACTAACATGTGACTCCTCATATTGTCAAGACGACTGAATCTCTTCCCACACTCTGGACACTCATGAGGTTTATGACCTGAATGCACTAACATATGCTTCCTCATACCTCGAAGACAACTGAATCTCTTTCCACACACTATACACTCATGATGTTTGTGACCAGAATGCACTGACATGTGACATATTATACTACCACGTGTTTTAAATTTTCTGCCACACTCGGCACATTCAAAAGGTCTTTTATCCGTATGTACCACCCTGTGTTCCTTCATACTTGCAAGGAGACTGAATCTCTTCCCACACTCTGGACACTCATGAAGTTTGTGACCAGAATGCACTGACATGGATATCACTACGCGTTTTAAATTTTTTGCCACACTCGGCACATTCAAAAGGTCTTTTATTCGTAATGTACCACCCTGTGTCCTTTCATACTTCCCAGCTGACTAAATCTTTTCCCACACTCTGGACACTCGTGACCCTTCATCTTCTTTATGATAGGTGCAGTTTGTATGAAGATTTTCTCCTCTGGATGTCAAGGTCCTGCGTCAATGTTGACGATTAGGCAAGGATTAGTGTTGTTTCTTAAGACTTCATGTGAGCACTTGGTGGTCAATGGTCGTGGTTCCTCTTTAAGATTTTTGAGAGATATATACAAGAGTTGTTACATTCTTGTACAGCCACTAGTACGCGTAGCGTTTCGGGCAGGTCCCTGGAATACGATCCCCGCCGCGAAGAATCGTTGTTACAACCAAGTACACATTTTACTCTTGCGTTAAACAGAGGCTACAGTTAAGGATTTGCGCCCAGTAAATCCTCCCCGGCCAGGATACGAACCCATGACATAGCGCTCGCGGAACGCCAGGCGAGTGTCTTACCACTACACCACGGAGACTGGTGTAGGTGGTTTATGATAGGTGCAGATTGATAAAGATTAAGCCACCCAAGAGGTGACACGGGCATGAATAGCCCGTAATAAGCGCATGTTTCATGAATAGGCGGAGTTTGTGTCAAGGTTTTATACTCCTGTCTGGTCACTCATCAGCAGCAAATTGGCGCCTGCTGCGCATACAAGCGTTCCATTTTTTTATTTCTGGTTCCATTTTTTTTCCTACTTATTTTTTGCTTATACTAGTTGTCTACATTTATCACCTATATTTTGCTCATCTTTTCCAGTTAAAGAATATACTTGAAACTCTTTTTTTAGATAATACCATACGATTATATACTTTTTTGAAGGAATGAGTAGTTCCATTTTCCGGCGGATTGTTCAACCTACACAGCACATAGCTAGTAGGTTGGTTTTATGCCCCAACATCGATTAAAGATATTTACATAATTTAAATTAGTCCCATGATAAAGGCGGTGATATGAGCCGGGGGGGGGGTGGGAGGGGTGTGGAGGTTGCCACATCCTCTAATGTAGCCGGCGCTCTCTTCCTCTTTCATTAACCCTTGCAGTTCTCCACTATTAAATAATTTTAATAATTTATTATATGATAACTTGACATTTTAATGAAAAAATAAGTACAGGATAGTGGAGTGTGTGGTGATGGTGGATATTAAGATGATATCGGGAGGAAGGTGTGGCGGTGGTCAACATGTCGTCAGCTGACTGGGAGGAGGTGAAGAGGCTCGCTGCTGACTTCCAGCGGGCCCAGCTCGCCTCTACTGTCCAGAAGTACGCTACCCGCGCCTCTCACTCTCCACCTATACATAGATAGTGATAAACTATATAGACATAGTGCTGGAGACTACGTATAAATGAATGCCATATGCCACACAGGCCGCCGTCTGCCCCGTTGACGTGAAAGTTTCAGGTCAACTCTCCACATTTTCCGACCCGCTTCTTTTCCGGACCGGTCCATGATAACTTCACCTTTATCTAGCCGTATACGAGTGTGGATAGGTGGGGAAGGATATTGTAATTTGAAAAATGGGTGACACGATACTGATGATTTGTTGGTGGTTTAGCTATCATAAACTAATTTACTCAAAGGTGGTTTATTTTCATTTCCCAGGTGGATTTTAAGATTAGTTTTATACTTAAATAATATAAAAAAAAATTGTGAATCGAGAACAGAGCTGACTGTCTTGGTACAGAAATAACTTGAATTTAAGGTCACTTGAACCATATTTTCTGTTAAAAAATGGTGACAAAAGAATTTGTAATGGGTTTTATTTTAATTTTTTTTATAACACGGGTAAAGAAAAGGTGTCTTACTTATTAGAAATGTAATAAAGGAGTATTTCAAATTTATATTCTTTATGGCTGCATTTTTTACTTTCAATGGGGTTGGCCATAAAAGTGTTTTTAAGGTTTTTTTTTTCTAATGATAAGTTCATTACAGATTATCTGAACGCAACTGTATTGAAATAATCAACAAATTAGTGGAACTTAATTTGCTAGATATCTACCACACTAATGATGGCAAGGAATATATTACTCCAGCTCAGCTCACCAAGGAGATTCAAGATGAAATTTTCCTTCATGGAGGTAAGTTCGTGATTGAATTTTTTGCTTTAGTTTGTGAACTAAATACATAAAACTCGTCAAAGATGATAGGACATTAACTTTATTGCTTGAAATGACCATTTCTCACTGATGGGGCTACATTTTGCCAGAAGTATCCCGGTGACCCACACCAGCATAAACTTACCTGGAAACTTTTTTTTTTTTATCATCTACCAATCCTTCTGACATTTATTCTTATAATAAACGCATTTAAAATCCAAAATAGAAAGTCATATTGAAATGCAGACCATGATTTCTCCCCTAAAATCTGCACTTTTGTTCTTGCCATCCATTTCTTTACTTGATAAAGCATTTGACATACTGTAGAGCACTTAAAAACAAAGTACAGTTTGTAAGAACCGAATCATTATTATTACAGAGAAATCCCACTAACGTCACGTGTTACATCACGTTAGTGTGATTTCTCTGTGTATTTCAAAGAGGAGCGTCAGAGGTGAACATTCCTAGAAGACAGAAGCAAAGTGCATGGAGGGGGGGGGGGGGAATTGTGTGTGACACCCTGGTTCGGCTTCAGTGGAAGCCTTGGGGACCCTTGAGGGTTCAGTAGAACCCCAGGTTGCTGTCCTTTTAACCATGTTGTGGCCTAGTTGTCTAGGGTGTGTGCCTGGGAGTACCCAGTGCATAGGTTGGAATCCTCATCACGGTTCCTACAGATTTTCTCATTATTATCATTATAATCAGTATCATCATTACAGTACTATTGTTAGTGCATAACGAAATGACTCGTCAGACAAATAATTGACCAATACCTAATTTACCAATGGTATACAAAATAGTATATTGTATAGTCAACTATGTTCATACATGACTATGCTGAATATTGTATACTAATTGCCTGCCAGTATGGCTGGAGATCCTAATGAAGTACAAACGACAACGTAATTAAACTACTTGATTTAATCTACTGAGTGCTTGACAAGAAGGAATACCCAATGATTTCATTATTGGGTTAAAAAAAACTTTTTGATATGGTACCCATTGGTCAAAACAACCTCCCACTCAAATTTCAACACTTAATGTTTAAAAAGTGTTTTAATGTTAAAATACTTATTACAGTAATCTGAATTTTCATTTCTGTAGAAAAATATAAATAAATCGCTACTTTTGCTTGTCTTCTAGTAGAAAATCATTTTACAAGTAACACTTAGTGGGCCAGCCAGAGGCTTAGGGCCCGTGCAGGAATATCCCTGCAAAAAAAAAAAAAAAAAAAATTTTAATGTGGTACTTATTGTAGTGAATTTGTATGAATATTTTTCACTGTACATGCATTTGTTTGTTTTTTTTCAGGGCGGGTGAACTTGGTAGATCTGGTGGATGTGTTATCAGTTGACCACAGTGTAATAGAAAAACGAGCATCAATTTTAGCTCACTCTGACTCCAGCATATGCTTTGTCCTTGGCCAACTGATTACACATGATTACCTCGATGTCATCGCAGAGGAGATCAATGAGAAGCTCCAACAAGAAGGTTCAACAACAATAGCAGACCTTGTCAAGCAATATGAATTGCCTGGAGACTTTATGTTGGAGGTGGGAACTTTTTTTTTTTATAAGTTATCGTATAGCAAAGCATATTTATAGTACAGTAGTTGATTGAACATTATCAACAAAGAAAGTCTTTAGAATGATCATTTGTTTTTTACTTTGAAAGGTTAAGATTAGTGCTGTTGCTTTTTTAAATTATTTATTAGATACAAATAAATTAGCATTTCATATACAGGTCTACAATTAAATAAATGAATGTGTGTGTGTGTGGTTCCCTTAATTTGCATAAATGGATCGGGGTGTAGGGTAATGGATCAGGTTGTGGGGTAATGAATCAGGGAACAGAAGAGGGAAAGATTGGTGAGAAAAAAAGAGGGAGAGTGGGTAATTGTAGAAAATCCAACATGGCCAGCTGGCAGGCACTTTCAACCATGTGGTAGTCTATCACCGCAGCTGCAGGAATGGAGCGATTACAAAGCAGCAGAAGAATAACCAATATCATCTTGCAGCTGCTCAGAGAACAAGAGAACCTCAACCAAACAGGTGTGAGCCTGTTAATCACTGCAGTCAATGCTGAATTAAATTGGGCTTTTGGATGCCATCCTTGTGTAGAAGGGCAGGAACAAACAGCATTTCTGACTGCTGCAAAGGTAAAGCTCCTAAGAAAGACATGGAAAAACTGGGGCAGCTTCCTTTCTAAGTGTCGATGTATAACAAAAAAGTTGAAAGTTGTCCAAGGAAAATGAGGGTATGTCTGTCAGCCAGAATGAAACTGGGATCTCGTACTACAGCAGGAAGCATTAGGGTCCACTTCGGATGCATGGTCTTGGTTACACAACAGAAACTGAAGCAAATCCCATCAGGCCAAACCCAGGAGCAGGTGAAACTTACAAAACTTGCAGGTGGGGGGTATTCGGGACCTTGAAATGTACCCATGAGATAGCAGAGGTGGTGTGCTGCATATACAGTACTGGGATGGTGGGTATAAGAAAATATCTGAATTTACCCAAGGGCCACCATCTCTTTAGTGGCCTCAAAAAAAAAAAAAAAAAAAAAAAAAAATCCTCTGGGTCAGTAACCAAACACCAATGGGGGTCTCAAATGGCATCCAAGGACCCCCCCCTCCCAAATTCCAGACACACTCTCCTGCCACAGGACGAGGACTGGGAACGGTGCCTACATCCCCCTCCAGAGCTCTGACACTGAAGAAGGAAACGATTGGGCATCAATTAGGGAAGCCCTCGTACCATAGAAGGGCAAATCTTCAGGCACATCCCAAAGAAACAACGAAGCTGAGGAAGGAATAGTAGGCTTTACAGTTTGTCAAATTCCCAGGGGAAAGCAGCCCCCTGAAGACACTTCCACCAACACCAGACACTTTGATGCCAAGATAAGATGCTCGAAATCTCATAAAACAGTGGGGGGGATTAGCAGGGATGCCATCCACTGCATTGCTACAGTAGGGGTGGCTGCAGTGCATGAGAGGGATGAGTTAGTGATGTGTTAAGAAAGGATAGTTGTAAATTATATTCAGCTAGATATTTACATTGTACACTATCCCTGGGATATTTCCAGTATGGTATGTCTCTCTTGATAAGTTTTTAATGTTGATAATTAAAAAATTAGGGCAAAGGACTACACAGTTTGATGCAGTTTGTTTGCTCTTGGTGTTTGTTAGTATCTGTGATGTTTGATATAGTTTTTCATAGATTTTGCATAATACCGTTACCATTTTGTTTCATTCAAGTCTTGTTTCCAATACATTTTTCAAAGCAATAAGGATTATTGGGGGGGGGGGAAGGACCAGTTTCTGTAATACAGTAGTTTGTCAACAGGTTGTTGTGGAGCGTCTAGGCACCATTATCCATGGCCAGCAAGATACCCACGATCGGACTGTGATATTTACCGATGCCTTTGTGGCAAGACACAAAGCTCACGTCAGAGGTGTCTTGTGTGCCATCACACGCCCTACACAGGTGTCTGTTATCATTATGCAACATGGTTTCCAGCAAAGACTATTCTTCAGTAAGTAGCACTGCACAGTATAGTATATATTATAATAAATTTTTTTATCAAAAATATATTATAAATACAGTATAGTTAAAATAATAGCTTAATTGTTCAAATGTTGAGTTTCGCATAATCCGCGTTACCCCATTTCCTACTTTCATGAGATGGAGGGGGCATCATCCCAGAGAAAATAGTGTAGCAATATTTTTTCTTAGGTTATTTTAAAGACCCTGTACATGTACAAAGGGCATGCACAAGTTGGATGATAAAAGACTGCAAATTGAGAGAAAATGGAACAAAAGGCTATCAATGAAAGCTAGAACTGCAATAAAGTCTAATAAATGTATGGAAATTCTTGGATACTGTATGGGTTGTCAGCCTGTGGAATGCACTGGAAGAGGTTGTTGGCTACTTCCATCCACTTCTTTAATTTTGGCCAGATACAAAAAAAAAAAAAAAAATTGAACATCAGGTAGGTTAAATTAAACACGTCAGGTACAAGTCTGTTAGGAGGGAAACAGACCTAGATTCCACTGCCATGTATTATATACTGTGGGTTGGTTGGTGTAGTCGTCGTTGATCCTCCTCTACGGACAACCCAACCCACAACTCGGTAGAGTGCTTATACTAGGAGATCACACTAGGCGTTTCTGGCTCTTGGAGAGGGGCTCGACGTCACACGTTTAGGGGATGCGGCTCCAACACTTAGCCTCGTCGTCACGTGCACACACCCACTCGAGCCGCTGTGACTCCCCACTCTCTCCTTATGAGATATGATCTCCTCAATCCCCCTATGATTTACTAGTATTACCTCCTACCCTGTCCACAGCAGTGGTTCATGGTTCTTTCTCTCTCTCTCTCTCCTTCTTTACTACCTCCTGGGAAGCCTCACTAGGACAAGGGCAAACACCAGCAAATTGTGACACATTTACTGAACAAAGCACATACACGATACATACACACATATAATAATAATGAATCCTATACTCTATAATATCACAATCAGGTTGCACTCCAATACCATCAGAACTCTATTATCAGCTTATCAAGGGGTATCCTATCTCCTGGTTCGCCACCTGATACCATTAACCTCCTCAAGTTGGTCAAGCCTACATACACTGTTGCACTATCAGCAAGATAATGTATATATAGAAAATCAGCATTTGAATGCAATAACATATACCAGTATAAATGTTCATTGATACTTCAGTATAAAAAAAACTCCTTGACATAAGAATGCCAACAGTCACTCACCTCTCACTGCGTCTTGCACGCTAATGACAACCAAACACTATCAACTCCCTACTAGTAATCCACCAGAACTTCCCCTTCCACCTCTGGAAGTTCACAACCCTAATATCCTTAGGTTCTTCCGGGCTTCACTACCAGGATCCTCTGCAGCTCCTCCAGGCTGCTATCATGAAGTTTCCTTGTGCAACTACGGTGCTTCACCCTTCTGTTAGGTTCTTCCACAGCTCTCTTGGCTGCTACACCACCTCTACAGAAGCACGTGACACTCCTCTTCACTGCTGCTTCTCCTCACAGCTCGAGGTCCTCTGCTCCACTACCTTGGAGTCTCATCAGCTACATCATCTGCTGGCTTCGAAGTTCTCAGCAACTTCTTCCCCAAAGACAAACCTGCAACCCATCGACGTTCCAATAAAATGTTCCCCATTAACACATAAACAAAAATAACCACACAATATGCTTGCCTCAAACCTCTATCTGTTCTCTACATACAGTGAGAGTGGACTCCCCCGTTTTGGGCGGGTCCATACTCCACCTCGCCTGGCGGCGGCGTCCTCACTCGCTGGGAGGGTCTTCCTCCATCCGGAGCCAGGCTCCCTCAGTCGTCCGCCAGAGCTCAGAGAGGACGGACGTCGCTCCGTGTTCCTCCCTCTCCACTCTCTTATTTCAGGCTTTCTGCCTTATTAAAACATGTCTAACCTATAAATAAACATCGCTACTGTCGCTGGGCACACGACCAACTACAATGCAATCACTATGAACTGGCGTATATCGTGCTTACCACAGAACGTCTGGTCGAGGGCGCTTCTTCCTCTGACGAGGCTTGGTCAGGGCGCTCCCACGGCCCACAATAATGCTTCTGGGCGATTTAATATCTGCTCGTCGACCCGGACTTGAGACCACAACGTTCCCAGCTCGATTCCACAGCTGGTACGTCTGCACACTTCTCTTCTCTTAGAGATATATCACTAGGGGTTCCCTTCTGGCGGGAGCTCAACGGAGCGCGGCTTCCCCTTGCGATGTCTGGCACTCAAGTGAGGTCAAGGTCCTCCAGAAGCGAGCCTCACGCCTCCAGCAAAATGTCCACATCTCCTAGCCAGTCATTTATCTATTTCCTTACTTACTGCCCATAATCTTAAATTGTTTTACATATCCAACCAGCCATTTTTCATATGGGTTATCACCTCAATATTTGCTAGACCTTCTAGTTAGGTCAGGCTTGCTGAATAACTCTCAAGAAGGGAGACTCGTTTCTCCTGCAGGCTGAGATCATAACACTCCCCTCCCCTTATTTTTGAGAGTTATTCCAGTGGCAAAGCTCGGGATAATACATCCGCCACCACGCTGTCTCGTTCTTCACCCCATATACTCTCTTAGGAGTCTACAAATAATTCGTTGCACCTTGCAACATCCGGCTCACAACTCTCCAGAAACATGGTCTTCTCACAAACGATTTGACCTCTCTGGCACCTCTTGGCTAGGCTGTCCTCCTTGGACGCCTGCAATCCATTGGTCCACTCTACTTACTGTCTCCACCCTCCGTTTCCTCGTCTTCTTCTCTTCCCGTCCAGAGTCAGACATCTACTGTCTGTACCTCCTCTGTCGTCTTCACACTTCCATCTACTGCCGTTATACTTCCGCCTCCTGTCATCATACTTCACTTCCTCGTCTTCACCGACGATCCTCCCTTGCGTCTCCGCATTTATCCAAGACCTCATCCTGTTTGACTTCCACCGAGTCCTCGGCTTTCCTCTATTCCTCCATGCTTGTATCATCTTCCTCTCCCCACACTTTTTACCTCTATGCAACTCCATTTCTTCTCCTTCAACTCTTCTTCGTTCCCTAAAAGTTTCTTCGGGCACTGTATTACATCCAACAGCACTCGACCATACATGTCGCTTTGCCTCTCCCAAAGTCCTCGCAAGCATCTCTCCACACATACTGTCTCTTCTCTCATTTTCTCGGCTATCACTCTTCTTCACTATCTCTCCTCCACGTTTTCTGTGAAACATATCAACTCCTGACACCTCAAACAACTTAACTCCACTATCCCTATGCCTCTGTGCTCGTGGACCACTTGACGCTCTATTTCCGTCCTCAGTATGTCCACATCTTTCCTCATTCCTACTCAGCACAGTTGCATTCACCTTCCGACCCTTAATTTCAGCAGTCTGGGCTCTACTCAGGTCCGCTCTCTTCACAGTATTCTTCTTCGGCTGGGTCATCCTCACTTTCGACCTCACCGAGACTCCATTTGCCTGGGCTGGACCTTCATCAAACAGCCATGCTATATCTACATCGATATCTTCCACTGGTTGAATCGACACTGTATCATCTTCTCCAGCGTCTTCCTTGTCGGCCACCTCTGCCTTCCTCACTACCGAGACGGGGTACTCAATGGCTTGGCGGTCTCCTGACTCATCCCCTCGGATGTCAGTCAGGTTCACACTCTCAGGTGTCCCACCCGTGCAGTGGCCTTCTGGGCACTCCTCTGGCACAGTCTCCGCTATGACTCTTGGCAACACCTTTGTCCCACACAAGTCATTCCCCAGGATCACTTGGACTCCTGGAATAGGTATGTCGGGGCACACTCCCAACATCACCTCTGCCGACACATATTCCGACCTTAGCTGGACAGTACAAACGGGCATGTCACTCTCCGACAATAACCCATATACTTTCATCTTCCCACTGCCAGCTAACCGTCGATCATTCCCAATCAGGCTTCTCGCAATCAAGCTCTGATTAGCTCCGGTATCTCTTAAGATACCAACTTCTACCTCAGGTTGGCCTCCTACACTGATCCAACCTTTGCTCATGAACGGTCTATACCTCTCGTTCACTAAGTTCGTCTTCTGTGGTTTGTCTCGGAACACATTAGTATATTTACTTCGGGGGTCACACATGGCCAGGGTCACAACTCTCTTGCCCTGCCGACAATCTCGCATCACGTGACCCAATCCGTTACAATTGTAACATCTCATCTGGGTAAAGTCTCTTCTATATGTACCAGAGTAGCTCTGACTCTGCCCACTCACATGAGAATTCCTCGGGCCAGGTACACTACTTGCACTCTGTGGGGTTCTACTGGACTCTTGATTTCCAGGATAACGATTAGTTTCTTGCTTAGCTCCTCCATCTTCACTTTCAGACGAAGTGCGCGACCTACTCTTCTGAGTTTTAGGGTACTTACTTTTATCTGCCCATTTATCAAAATTTTTCTCACCCCAGACTCTTCTGGGTCTTTCATAATTTCTTCCTCCCCAGACTCCATTGGGTCTGCCATTGCTGCATCTCGCCTCACTTCTCACTCTGTTCTCCCTTAAGCTCTTGTACGCTTCAGTAATCATATCCGCCCTATCTGCGGCATCTTTCACCTCCTTTATCCCTGCTTCTTGGATCTTGAACTTTGTTTCGGGATGCATCATCTCCAAGAACTTCTCCATGACCATCAGTTGCTTCAGGTCAGCATAAGATCCAACTCCAGCAGCCTCAATCCACTTCTGGAATCGTCTTTCCAGATCTCTTGCTGTCTCAGCAAACGTACATGCTCCAACTTTGATCATTTCTCTGAAGCGCTTCCTATAAGCCTCTGAGGTTAACTGAAACGAGCGCAATATGCTGCTCTTTACTGTGGCGTAATCCTGGCACTCTTCCAGTGACAATTGGGTGTATGCCTCCCTGGCTGCACCGGTCAATCTTAACTGGACCAGCTGGGCCCATTCCTCCTGTGGCCACTCCTTGATACTGGCTACTTTCTCAAAATGCTCGAAGAAGCTCTCTGCCTCTTCGGGAACAAACAAGGGAATGTCCTTCTCCCTAACCCTAACATCTGGTGGGTGTGATACCTGGGTGGTGCTCTCTGGCAACCCATGTTCAATCCTTTGTTCAGCCAAGGTTCTATTCGCTTCTATCTGCATTTGTTTTGTTCTCTCTTTTTCTTTTTCGACCTGGGCTTTTTCTTTTTCGACCTCTAGTCTTGCTTTCTCTTTTTCTTTCTCTTGTTCCAACTCCAGTTCTCTTATTCTGGTTTTCTCTTTTTCTACTTCCAGTTTGGTTTTCTCGGCTTCATTTTTCATCTGGAGTTCCAATTTCATCTTTTCCAACTGGAACTGTCTCTCCTTGTCCTCTCGTTGTTGCTGCATCTGGAGCTCTAACTGGAATCTCTCCAAGCTCCTATTTCGGCTACTCCTGCTACTGCGGCTACTCCTGCTGCTCCTACTTGATCCCTGGGATCTCACGTCATCCTGCCCATCATCCTCCTTTCCACTTTCAGCTCCTTTCTGGGCTCCTTGTTCTGCCGCTTCACTTTTGGCTCTTGACTGCCTCAGGATCTCATCCTTCATCCCAGCTACTTTAGATGCTTTCAACCTGATGCCACATTTTTCTGCTATTTGTTTCAATTGATCCCTCGTGCAACCTTCCAAGTCCTCAGGCTTGCCTGACTCCACAAATGCTTGCACCTTATCCATCTTTGTCCTGTGAGTCTTCCCAAGAGAGAATATACACCTGCGGTCACACAGTTTATTTCAGCAAGGGTGTACAAATCCACTCTTGGACAGGGTGTGGGTGTGTCAGTTCACTCTCCCGGACAGGCCCCCCAATTTTATTATAGACTGTGGGTTGGTTGGTGTAGTCGTCGTTGATCCTCCTCTACGGACAACCCAACCCACAACTCGGTAGAGTGCTTATACTAGGAGATCACCCTTGGCGCTTCTGGCTCTTGGAGAGGGGCTCGACGTCACACGTTTAGGGGATGCGGCTCCAACACTTAGCCTCGTCGTCACGTGCACACACCCACTCGAGCCGCTGTGACTCCCCACTCTCTCCTTATGAGATATGATCTCCTCAATCCCCCTATGACTTACTAGTATTACCTCCTACCCTGTCCACAGCAGTGGTTCATGGTTCTTCCTCTCTCTCTCTCTCCTTCTTTACTACCTCCTGGGAAGCCTCACTAGGACAAGGGCAAACACCAGCAAATTGTGACACATTTACTGAACAAAGCACATACACGATACATACACACATATAATAATAATGAATCCTATACTCTATAATATCACAATCAGGTTGCACTCCAATACCATCAGAACTCTATTATCAGCTTATCAAGGGGTATCCTATCTCCTGGTTCGCCACCTGATACCATTAACCTCCTCAAGTTGGTCAAGCCTACATACACTGTTGCACTATCAGCAAGATAATGTATATATAGAAAATCAGCATTTGAATGCAATAACATATACCAGTATAAATGTTCATTGATACTTCAGTATAAAAAAAACTCCTTGACATAAGAATGCCAACAGTCACTCACCTCTCACTGCGTCTTGCACGCTAATGACAACCAAACACTATCAACTCCCTACTAGTAATCCACCAGAACTTCCCCTTCCACCTCTGGAAGTTCACAACCCTAATATCCTTAGGTTCTTCCGGGCTTCACTACCAGGATCCTCTGCAGCTCCTCCAGGCTGCTATCATGAAGTTTCCTTGTGCAACTACGGTGCTTCACCCTTCTGTTAGGTTCTTCCACAGCTCTCTTGGCTGCTACACCACCTCTACAGAAGCACGTGACACTCCTCTTCACTGCTGCTTCTCCTCACAGCTCGAGGTCCTCTGCTCCACTACCTTGGAGTCTCATCAGCTACATCATCTGCTGGCTTCGAAGTTCTCAGCAACTTCTTCCCCAAAGACAAACCTGCAACCCATCGACGTTCCAATAAAATGTTCCCCATTAACACATAAACAAAAATAACCACACAATATGCTTGCCTCAAACCTCTATCTGTTCTCTACATACAGTGAGAGTGGACTCCCCCGTTTTGGGCGGGTCCATACTCCACCTCGCCTGGCGGCGGCGTCCTCACTCGCTGGGAGGGTCTTCCTCCATCCGGAGCCAGGCTCCCTCAGTCGTCCGCCAGAGCTCAGAGAGGACGGACGTCGCTCCGTGTTCCTCCCTCTCCACTCTCTTATTTCAGGCTTTCTGCCTTATTAAAACATGTCTAACCTATAAATAAACATCGCTACTGTCGCTGGGCACACGACCAACTACAATGCAATCACTATGAACTGGCGTATATCGTGCTTACCACAGAACGTCTGGTCGAGGGCGCTTCTTCCTCTGACGAGGCTTGGTCAGGGCGCTCCCACGGCCCACAATAATGCTTCTGGGCGATTTAATATCTGCTCGTCGACCCGGACTTGAGACCACAACGTTCCCAGCTCGATTCCACAGCTGGTACGTCTGCACACTTCTCTTCTCTTAGAGATATATCACTAGGGGTTCCCTTCTGGCGGGAGCTCAACGGAGCGCGGCTTCCCCCTGCGATGTCTGGCACTCAAGTGAGGTCAAGGTCCTCCAGAAGCGAGCCTCACGCCTCCAGCAAAATGTCCACATCTCCTAGCCAGTCATTTATCTATTTCCTTACTTACTGCCCATAATCTTAAATTGTTTTACATATCCAACCAGCCATTTTTCATATGGGTTATCACCTCAATATTTGCTAGACCTTCTAGTTAGGTCAGGCTTGCTGAATAACTCTCAAGAAGGGAGACTCGTTTCTCCTGCAGGCTGAGATCATAACACATGTTAGTCACTGGTAGGTAAACGCTGCCACCACATCCATGTACACCTCATGTAGGCCCCCTCATTCCTATCCTTACAGTAGCCTGTGTTTATTAGACCAGTTTAAACTTGTATCCTTAGTCATTATTTGGTAGTTGAAAGTATTGCATCCCCAGTGCTCATTGTGCCACTCTGTTATCTCAAGATATTACATCCCAACAATATTTCTCTTGATTGGCTATAATGACAACATGTCTATAGTTTATACTGAAGGCAATATTTGTGAATGTAGTTTTTCAGTGTACTAGTATTTTAATCTTTGTTAATGACAGTATTTAATAGTTGATATAATACAGCATTTATATTTACAAAAATTTGGCAATCATAATAACAAGGTTCATCAGATTCAGGTGTCTATGATTCATGTAAATTATATAAAGTTTTAGCTAATTGGTGTAATTTTTATGTAAAATTAATATCGGCCTGTTTTGCCCAATATTTGTATTTTTTTTTTTTTTTTTACTGCAGATGTTGCTGAAAAATTAATTGCGACTGGACGGGTACCTGGTGTTCTAACAGGAAACCGACAAATTCATAGGGCAATGTACATACCCAGCATTTATTCACGTACTCAGAATGAGTGGGTCGACAACTTCTTGAAGCAAAATGGGTATCTAGGTAAGTGAATTTTGTATAATTTGAGTTAAAGAAAGTTGTCACATATTGGTGTTAAACAGGGAAACACAAGTGTTATTGTGCATGTTATTTGATAGTGTAGTATTACAATCTTTGAAGACGGTTATTATTTTATAATTACTAAGTGCATATAACAAATAAGATAGTCATACTTATTCAATAAGTCAACTGCACAAAATAGCTAATAACATTTTTTGTTTTATTTTTGAGGAAGATGCTTTGAAGATAAGAAGCTCAAAATCCTATAAAACAGTGGGGGTTGCCACCCACTGCAGTGCTACGGTGGTGGTGGCAACAGTGGTAGCTTCATTTATCTTTGGCACAGACACCACCAGGACACTAGAAAGTTAAGCTTCAGGGGTGACCTTTGCCCAATGGGCACATGTCATTGCAAATTTTGTTCCCTGACTAAGGGACTGGAAGCGGTGGAGAGCATATTTCACTCTTAATATTGAGAAACCACTTGCTGTGACACGTAGAAAGTATTTTAAAGCACAAACGTCCTTTAAAATATTACTGGTAATACAATACTGAGATTGCTAAGCATCATTCAGAGCAACCGAAGCACCCACAAACCAACTACTACCCCAGTTGTCACCAGGTGATACATAGCCCTATATAACCGGGTCAGGGGAGGTGGTCATCCTCACTTTGAAGTTTGTTACATTGCCACTGGAGAGATCAGACATTTATGTTCAGTGAGATGGGTTTTGGGGATTCTAAAGGCAGGGCATTGGTTGCCTTTTGGTATAAGTTGGACATTAGTGCCCAAAAACTGAATTGTTCTTATTGGTTGGTGCCCTCACATGTCTTATCCCAATTTGAGCTAGATGATGCCTTCCCTTCCCTGCAAGTGTGTTTTCAGGTCCCTATTTGGGATCTAGATTCACCTTCTCTTTGCAAGTTTAAACAGGTCACCTATTTGCCTTCTCAGGCTTGGTCAATCTTGCTTAAATTCTTGCTTGGGGAAGAGCATTTTTGTAAATGAATCTATTCTTTTGATGCCACTTCATGGTTGCAGTCCTGGGTTCCACTTAACTAATAGACAATCCATTGCTCTCCTTGAAGAAATCGACTTGGTTCTGTAGTCGGCATTCTGTATTGGAAAGAGGTTGCCTTGATCTTTACTGTTGCCATGGTGGTACACAAGGCTGCCTGGCAGGAGGTTCCTCTTATTGTACTACTCTTGAAATGTTCTCGTTGCAAATGTGTGTAGGTGTCTCTCTGGCGGATTCTTCCTGGTCTGCTACTGTGACAGTATCAAATATTTTGCCTAATTTGTTCATGCTGCTCCACGATGAGTGACAGATTTCTATGCTGCACATCATGTGTTTTAACGTGCCTTAAAATTCCTGATTGGGTTTTCTTTGGTTACATCGAGTTTTAGGCACAATAGTCTGTTTTAGGTTTATTGGCACTTTGCTGCATTTTATATTCATTATGTTTCCAAGAAAATTAACCATTAGATAAGTATGTGCTATGTGGCATACTGTATATATATTTTATACTGTATTTTTATTATGCAGAGTTTGAAGCCTTGCGTCGACTGGACATAGTTGATCCCGAGGGGCATATCCGTCGGCACTATAAGAATGAAGATTTAACCTTTGTTGGTGACGTTTGTGTGGGACCAAGTCTCATCGATCAGATTGATGCTGCTATTGATGATGCCTTGGTTTCTGGGGGTTGGGTGGATATCTATGTGAGTATCTATGTGAATATGTACATACTTGAACTTTAACTTTGAATCGGCAGATATTTTTTAACAGTAGTACTTATGAGTATAGTATTTGGAAAATTTAAAAAGTTAATGTCTGTACATTATTTGAAAAATGGGTTGCTATTAAAAGTAGAGAAAAATTTGACATGGAGGAACACTATTAACCATTAATTTTAGTAATGGCATGTACTAATATATTTATAAATAGTCTAGATTTAACTGATATTTTCTTCTAATTGTGTGTTGGATAGCCTCTGTTGCCTACCGTATTCAGCCCAGAGGAGGGAAATCAGTTGGTGGATATTGCCCTGAAGCGTCGCCAAGATAAAAAATCCACAGCAAGTGCAAGGGTGTTCTGTGACACTGTTGTTATTAGTGACCAGCTTTTGACAAAACTGTCCAACCATCTACAACAGTTGATGCCAAAGAAAGCCAAGGAAGCAATAGAGAAGGGAGCCTTTAAACAACAAGTGGGTAAAATATTAGTGTTTAGTCATCATTACAGGTCTTGGGTACTACTGCATGGCTTTAGCTTTAAGCACTAAATGATGGTTAATGCCAAATAACAATATTATTTTTTTTAATAACCTGCAGAATCTATTCTGTATAGTATTCAAGCTTGGAGCAGAATGTTCCTGCCTCTCACTTGTTGGATCACTATGTAACCCAGTGGGTGATTTGTAGCTCGGTTATTACCACAGCCAGCTGGCTCGTGACCAATTGCACTCGAGTAATATGTCTAGCCTGGGCAAGATGTTTTGGCACATTTCTTATGCCTGATGCTTCTGTTCACCTAGAAGTGAATACGTACCCCGGGAGTTGGGCAACTGTTGTGGGTTGCATCTTGGAAGTCAGTTATTGGCCCAGGGGAACCTTAACCCTTAAAGTGCGCATCACTTCATATGAAGTGTAAATCGTTTTACCAGTCAACTGCGCTTCACTTCATATGAAGTGTATGGGTACCGCGCACGATTTGAATGGCCCGCGGTGTAGCTGGGGGTACCATACGCTGCCCAGGGGCTCTAGTAAACAGCGGCCATTTTGAAAAAAAATCCAGCTCACGCTCCGATGGCATGGGAGGCCTCAGTTTAGCGAGAGTCACCATGGCGAGCGCACGGTCAAACGCCTCACGAGCACGCATCACTCAGTCCCTCACCCCAGAGCAAATAGCCCACGAATTATTCTCTGAAGGTGAAGAAAGTGTGTTTGACGATTCAGACAACGATGAGGATTATACACAGTTGTCGAGAGATAGTAGCAGCAGCAGTGAAAGTGAGAATGACCGCCATGCCATGGCGAGGCCTATATGCTCTCCCATGCCTCCTCGCCCATTTTCTACCCCAATTCTACCACGACCTCACAGTTCCTGTGGATATTTTCTGTTTGAGGGTGACGAGTCAGAGGGAGGTGACTCCTTTTCTGGGTTTAGTGACCCAGATCAAAGTTTTATTGAGCCTGTGGCTGGTACCAGTGGTGTAACTGGGCGAGAAATTGTCGCGTCAGCAGCATCTCGCCCAGCCAAGCGCCACCGCATGGCACCACATGAGGGACCAAGACCCTCGTGTTCACGTGCACCCACCTCACGTGCACGTAGCGGCCGTGCTTCTCGCAGACGGTATTCAGCTCCTGGTCGCCGGTATGCATCGCTTCCTCGCCGTCTTTCCTCTGCATCTCGCAGGACGCCTGGTGTACTTGAGTGGAGTGATGGTGACGATTTTATTCCTAATATTCCTCACTTTGACGATAAAGATGTAGGGATTACAAACCTTTTCCCTAATCAAGGTGAGGACATGGCTGAGATGGAATATTTTACAGCATTCTATGATGAACCACTCATGGAATACATTGTACACCAAACGAACCTGCATGCTGCTTACCTGATTGAGAGGGAAATCACAGAATTTTCACGACTGCAGCGTTGGAAAAATACCACAGTGGCGGAAATGTATGTGTTTTTGGCACTCTGTTTGTTGATGAAGCACTGTCACAAACATGCAATAAATGACTATTGGAGCAAGGACAAGACAATACCAACACCTTTATTCGGGAAATATATGTCACGAGACAGGTTTCAGATACTCCTCAGGTGTCTACATTTTGGAAGTGTTCAGGACCGAACACCTGATGATAGACTGTGGCGAGTGAGGCACTACATGAACGATGTTATTGGAAAATTCAGAGATTTTTACGTACCAGCACAGAAGCTGGTGGTTGATGAATCTCTCATACTTTTCAAGGGACGTGTTCCATTCAAACAGTACATTCCCTCAAAACGAAACCGATTTGGCCTGAAATTTTTTGTTCTTTGTGATTGTGAGACAGGATACGTGTTACACATGATTCTGTACTCGGCTAGTGATGTAGACATTCCCGGTAACGACGAACATGGATTCTCGGGGAGTGTAGTGAAGACCATCATGGCTCCGTGGATGAACAAGGGACACATTTTATACACAGATAATTACTATACAAGTCCCTTGCTAGCTCGGTTCTTGCTAGAAAATAGAACCGGATTGGTTGGTACAGTAAAGCCACAACGAAGGGAAATGCCTGTGTTTGACAACGACATTGCAGTTGGTGAGTGTCAGAGAAGGAAAAGTGATAACATTCTGTCAGTTCGGTGGAAAGACAAAAGAGAGGTGAACTTGTTGACAACAATTCATGATGGAACAATGGTGAACAGTGGGAAAGTGAGCCATAAAACAAACGCGCCACTATATAAGCCAGACTGTGTTTTAGACTATAATATCAACATGCGGTTGATTGATAACTCAGACATGATGATTGGCACTGCAGAATGTGTGCGGAAGACATGTAGGTGGACGAAAAAAGTGTTCTTCCATCTTGTGGACATGAGCATGCTGAACTGTTTCAACATGTACCTTGTGAGAACTGGACGTAAGCCCACTTTCCGTGACTTTGTATTTGATGCTGCAATACAGTTATTAGGAAAGTTTGCAAAAGATGTCCCAGGTATTCAGCGGCCCATCATAAACCCACTGTTGCAGCATGCTGGTACTCCACGCCTCGCTCACACTGAAGGCTTCCTAGCACACAAACTTAAGTATTTGCCACCTGGTGTGAAGCGTGCAATAGCCCAACGTGATTGCTTGGTGTGTAAAACAACGACACGTAGAGACAAGAAACGGAAGCTTGTGCAAACATGGTGTGAAACGTGTGGTATCCCATTATGTGCTGTCGACTGCTTCAATGACTACCACAGTCTAGAAATCTTCTAAGTGTGCTTCAAAGTGTGTATAGCGTGTGCGAGTGTGTAAATATGTAAACATATAAGCAGAACATATAATATAATAGACTGTAATGACATATTATATTGCCGTAATTGAAAACATTTGTGTGCGCCTGTGTATACTCAAATATGCAACAATTATTGATACAAAATATGTTCAAACAGTATTTGAAACACAATTAGTGAAAAAAAATTAGATAAAATGCGCTTAGACATTGTAAATAAATAGCGCGAAAATATATTTGAGGCAACTCTGGCTGTTTGAGGACCGCGCGCAACATCTCCCGGGCGTGTACTGCATGAGCGACCATGCAGATTGTGACGTCATCGCAGAGCTTCTCGGCTCTATTGCAACAAAAGTAAGTACAATAGAATTTTTTTTTTATTTTTCCCGTGATCAGTGAACAGAACTTAACAGATTAGCAAAAAAAAAAAATTTTTTTTTTTTTCAAAATGACATGCGCCTGTGTGGATAGCAGGATATTAGACCCCGAGCATGTTAAGGGTTAATGAGCCTCATAGGCTTCCTGTCCCTGACAGTGGAAAACCAATTATATGGTCTCGGATGCAATGGAAGACAAGTGAAATGGTGGTGTGACATACTCGGGTTTCCAAAGGCTTTCAACAAATGTGAACACTATACAGTATAGTGTAATAGAGGTGTATTGATACCAATATTTTAAAAGATACCAACTTGTGTGCAGGTTTCCAAGCCTATTGGGCTCTATTACATTACATATATGGAGTCTATTACCACCACTTCAGTTTATAATCCGTTCTATTTGTTCACTACTTTGATACTGAAAAGATTTTATAATCTCTGTAGTTCATTTAGTTATTCAGTTTGTGCCCCCTTGTTTATGTACTACCTCTTCTCTGCTCTGTCAGTGCTGCTAAGAATTTTAAATGTAGTCACGTCTTTCCTTACTCTTCTGCCTTCTAGTCATGTGTGATATGTTTTGTTTAGCCTTACCTCTTAACTCATCCCTCTGAGGAGAGATGATTGGTTACTGATCCTAAACTGTTTATTCATGTTCATCCAGAAGTAATTGGAGACCTGGATACAAGTCAATTGACTGTATCGTCCCTTGAAGATGATGCAAGAATTAGTACAAGTACGCTTTTAACTCTTATCACTGAGTACACTGGAAACTTTCTAACTGTTGAAAACCAAAGTCTTCCAGTGGTCTACAGAAATCAATATTATGTTCAGTGAATTAAATTTCCAACTTTTTGTGCTATAGTAAAAAATGTTTAAATTATAACTGGAACTGTGTAAAAAAAAAAAAATGCAGTTAAACCACACTATAGTGAAATGAAGAAAGAAAAAGATCAAATTGTATCAATGTTGGAAGGTCTTGCATTTAAAAAATGCATTAAAGCAACTATCATACCACAAGGAAAAACGTTTGACTGAGTAATGAGAATCTTTCAAACTAGGCCAAATCAATGATGCCAGTACTATCTAGAGTACAGGTAAGATACCAGTACTATCTAGAGTGGAACACAGTTGCACATTAACCACTCTATTTATGGCTGGAAAAGTTGCTTTCCAGGAAAACATGCAGACAATGTTTACTGCCAGAATTCCCCCAATAAAACATATAAATTATTGGGAACACTGAATATCCCTTAAATTTTATTTCCCTTAAATGTAGGTGATATAGTTCATGATCTTCAAATTAAAGTTATTACATTGAGTGAGTCCAAATCTACACACCAGCACACCAAAATAATTCCCCAAAAGACTAGAAGGCATGACAGTGTCCAAAATTAGCCCCAATGAAAGTAAAGGCTCAATAAGTACACTTGGACACAATTCTGTAAACATCAAGGGCTCAGGGCTTTTTGACACCATCCCTCTAAATACATGGGGCATGACTAACAGACTTTGTTAAAGAGGGACCAGATTAACACCTCTGAAGGATACTTGATCACGTGGGAAAAGGGTTCCTACATGTGACTGTGAGCAGTGGCTACCAGCAGAAGGCCTGCTCTGAGACTGGGTCATGGGAACCCTGGTAATCAGAATGACCTCAAGGTAGACAAGGTATATTATTGGATTTTCCCCTTTCTAATCTTTGTTGGTAATAATAATGGTGATAATCATCTTTATTTCTGGGTCTGATTCCACAAGCTGTAAGAGTTGTGGAACATAACAGTGACATAAGCACAAATTGCTGCATGGAAAAAAAAAAATTCATTAAGCTATCCTTAAGTGTCTTTGCTCACATCAGTTCTTGAATCAACAACAGACTACCGATGGTGGTGATGGCAAATTTCTGGTAATGTAATATTAAGGGTGTGTGTGTGTGTGTGTGTGTGTGGGGAGGGGAGGTTCATGTTCTCCATTACCATGCATTCTTTTGGATTTTGTTTTAGTTTTAGTGATGTATTTGACAAATCATTAATTTGTCAAATTGGCTAAATCATTAGTATTTCTGATATTACAGGAACCTAAGTAGTGGATATGTATGTCCATTCATTACTCTTTTTCCCTCTAGGACTCTATTTATGGACTGAAGTCATTCATACAAATTAATCAAGCCTTGTTACTGACAATGGATTTTATTAAATGTGCTCACAATTTGGTAATTATTGGAGACACTTGTGTTCATATTTGCTAGTATATTTTCTTAGTATATAAAATTTTCAATTTTGTAACGACTTATTTTTTTTTTTTTTTTTTTTTTTTTTATTGCTTCCAGGTTAGCACTGGGAGACTTAAGCAGCAGGATGAGGATACCGGTAAGAGTAAAAAGGATGACAGAAGAAAGAAGGCTGCAACTGGCAAGGCAGGAGGTGGCACCCAAGGTCGTGAGACTAAGACCAAAGCTACCAAGAACAAATATAAAACGAGGAAGGGGCCTGCTCAAGATTCTGACTCCGATGATGATAACAGTGCCCAGCAGCATATTGGTGGGCATGGTGGTAATGCTTCCCATGTAGAGTTCCTCTCCTTAGAAGACATGCAAACAGAAATTACAAACTTCTCAGAATTGACAGACTGCCCTGAAGAACTGGTGGAAGAGCTAACAAATGATTTGCATCGTCCATTAACTAGACAGTTTCAGGAAGTTGCTAAATCTATTTTCCTGGCAACTGTAGCAGTTGGAGGTGATGCACGGAGAAAGACCCATCAGCAGCTACAGGAAAAAGTGTCGGCTTTGCTCACTACGATCAAGCTGGCAGAGAAGAGTATTAAGGTTAGAAAAAGCAGAGCAACTTTCACTGAAGCTATCTTTCATCAAAAGAACATTCTCATAATTACCTGATCCTTCACCCTTTACCTTGTGTAGTGATCTTTAATCACTTCATTATACTTATGCTGTACTTGCAACACACATTTGATTTCTCCTAATTTTAAGTTAGAATCACATTTTTGTCACATTGTTTTTGTTAATATGGTTATTTGGCCTAACTTGATTTAAGATATTTATAATCAGTTGTGTGATTAAAATATGAGAAAATGCCATTTGTTTGCAGGTATTTGATGAAGAGAAGCAGATGCAGTTGAGGAAGCACTTGCTGAAAACTCAGTGCTCTGAGCTCATGAATGAACTAGTTCTTTACCTTGCCGATGACAGTCTTATAGACATAGCTCGGGACAAGGAAATCACCCCTGAGGTAATCCTGGCTTTTTATCATTTATCCTTAAGTGCATATGAGATGAGAACATGATCTTGTGTAGCCATTTATATGTTAACTTATTTCCTTGTTTAGTATTGTCTACTTCATCAAACCTTTAAACGACCTAACTGAACTATTTTAAGTTATTCCCGAAATGCTTCATGTACTAGTGGCCTTATTAATATGTATATGTACTTTGTAATTATTAAGGCATTATCATATTCTGCATATTTTCAATAACTATTATTATTATTATTTATTATTATTATTATTATTATTATTATTAAATACTCAGATAAGCAAAAGGAAATTAAAGGAAAAGCTAATGCATGCTCCCTCTTGTTTTACATTGTCAAGTGCGCATTCATAAATAACACACGTGCAGCAGAATAACGTGACTAGTTTAGTAGTCAGCACCAAACCTAACACTGCTTGATGCAGTTACTAGTACAATTGCCTTAAATTTTATAATGTGATTTTAGAAAGTTATTTGTCAAAATCTATAATTTAAGTGATGGTTCAACATTCACTTCACTTGTCTGGGGCCTAATTCATGAAGCAGTTACTTGTACTTGCGAACGTGTACATCTTTTCTCAATCTTTGGCGGATTTGGTTACATTTATTAAACAGTTTACAAGCATGAAAACTTCCCAGTCAACAGTCGTTATTGTTATAAACAGCCTCCTGGTGCTTCGGAGCTCATTAACTGTTTAATAATTGTAAACAAATCCGCCAAAGATTGACAAAAGATGTACAGGTTCGTAAGTGCTTGCGTAACTGCTTTGTGAATATGGGCCCTGGCCTTTAATTCTAATGTTATTTCAAAGTACTATTTGTACAGTAAAATTATTGATGAAATCTAACTAAAGCTGCTTTATACAGATTCGTGTAAAGATTATTAAGAAATTATCTGAAGACATGACTGAGCCACTGCTTAATGCCCATAAGACGCTTATTGGCTGTAGCTTGGAGGAATTCTTTGATGTCATTGATGATGCTATTGCAGTCACAGGGATCATGCTGAAGAAGAAGGACAATAAGAAGGATCGGTAAGTTGTGGCTTTCTCTACTTGTATAATGGGCTACTAATCCTTCATATTGACAAGGGGCATAAAATTGTAATTTACTTTTAATAATTTTCTGCCTGAATGATTAAAAACAGATGTATCACTTTTGCCAAGCTGTTAGAACAAATTCCCTGTAGCACTGAAACATTCTTCTGGTGAATGTTATCAATTATTACATAACTACAAACGGGTAACAGCAAACACAAACACTCGGGGTAACAGATGTTTAATACATTCAATAAATATATTTTTTAATAAATAACAATTTTTTGGGTACAGTGTATCGAAAATGCTGACAGCGAGTGCATTCAGCCTTGTTAATGTGAATCGTGTATGTTGACTAACTCTCGTTAGTGTGAAGCCCACACATTCAACTTGACTGTGCAAGTGTGAACCACAAACCATGTTTATGGAATTTTAGTAGTAAAGAACAAAGTACTGTACATAGTGTTCTTAATTTTTTCCGTGTATCTCGTCCCAAATTTTTTGGGAGTAGGACTTGCCTGAACTAATGGATTAGGTAGAGTATATATAGCAATGAGCCACACACCAGGATTTTTTTTTGTGGTTGTATTTGAACATTCTTAACCCTGTGGTTTGTTTTAGGCAGGTTTTAGAGTACACCTCTTGCATTGTATTTCAGTCAGATTTGTGTAAGATAAATGAGTTAGCGAGTTTCTTAAATGTGTGTGATAGTTGTTACTTGGTAAATATGTACCTTAATTTATGACAGGTCAGGTGTCGCTTTACTTTGAAATATCTGTTCTTACACCAGTTTTCCATCTTGTTTGGGTTGGTGCCTCCCTATTCCATTAAGATGAAAAGAGAATGATCACATACATGAAGAACACTTCACTTGTACAAAATGTACTACTGAGTATTGATGATTATCCTTAAAGCTTATGTGTACAGTTAAAATTAATATTATTTCGTTGATGTGGGTTAGAATGTCTGCCTTGGTCTTCATGTGGAAAACATTGTAATTGAACATGAATTGGTTAATAATCTTCTTAATGGAGATGTAAAATTGTACTATAATTAGTTTTCTTGTGGATTTTAATACACATATGGGAAGCTGCTTTTATTTAATTTCTTGTTAATATTGTTTATAATCTGTAAATTATTATTTTTTGTTGGGGTGGAGGGACAAAGTAATTTAACTTTTTACAAATTTAAATATTATTAGGTAAGATTTCTTGTTTGATACAATACTTCACGCTACTCATTAGTATATCTTTTTGCAGACAAGTGTTGTTGAACCATCGGAGTGGTCTTCTGGAGCAGCTTGATGGATCTATTGATGCCCCAATAACGCTTCATCTGGCCTGCCTTGTGCTCTTCCAATCTGTAACAGGGAACATGTTGCACGCATCGGGCAAGTTTGTGCCACATATCTTGGCATACATAAAGAATCAAATACCAGCGGATAAGTTTACTATACTGCAGGAGTATCAAGGTAAGCTAGATTGTATTATAAACATAATTTAGTTTATATTGCGTGCAGTGTATATATACAGTAGACTCCTTATTTTATGCAAGATAATTGAATGCAAACCTCTTTCCACATGAGATCAAATTTGAGTCCATTACTGCAATCCATTTCATGTGGTTCATGTTCAATTTTATGTGAACATGTATTACATGTGATTATAGTTTGTATCACATAAATATTCTGAGGACTAAATCTTGACAAATCAAAAGAGAAGCAATAGCCAGCATCCAAGACTATAATGTGAGGAACTTGGCAGATCTGGCTCGGTGGAGACAATACTCCGTTGATGAATTGTTGTAGTGGAGAGAAATGTCTGTTGTGTGTCTTGCTGCTCTTATGGCAAACCTCACTTTTACTTTACAATATTGTTTTCAAATTGTTAGCTAAATGTCACTCACTGTATGCCTAAAATGTAAGTTGGATTTAGTGCTATGCATTGTTTACTCCAGCCAGTATTGTAATGATGTGTATAAGTTGGTACAATGAAGTTTCTGACTGATAATGACAATGTCAATGTGCTGTGTTGTTTTTGTGTGACACTTGTGTAATTAATGTACTATACTTTTTATGCAAACTTTACTAATTATAAATGTGCAATCATTTATGAATGAAGTCGATTGTGAAAAGCCAAATGTTACTTTGAGTACTTCCTTATTTTTCCTATGTATCTCGTCTGTCTTCTTCCAGTAAATGCTCAACCCAATTAAGATGGAGGAATGATGATAGGTGCCATCAAAATATCTCCCCCCCCCCCTCCCCAAGTAGCACATATGTTTATTTTATGTATTTTTACCTCTCCTCACATTTTCTACACATTACAGTACCTGTACTGTATTTATATACAACTTGTTCATTTTATTGAACTTTATTATGTGCATTGTTCCTAATTTTAGTTTTAATAGTAAACTTTAGATTTGCTTTTATTAAAATAAATAAAAGGGGGGGGGGGAAGTACCGTGACTTGGTATTAGTAGTGAGACTACATTATATTATTATAAAGGGGTGAAGTCATCACAATTTTCCTTTGCCACAGAGAATAACTTTCTTTTCCAAAGAGACTGTAATACTTCAGTATGAGATAATCATGCGTTTAGAAGATACAAATTTGTATATACTGTAATTAACAAATCTTATTTTAATAACGCTTTGTATCATTACAGATTTGGTTATTAAATCTCTAACAACAAAGGGTGACTTGGAGGCCGATAGTGAAGTGAAACTTAGACTTGAAGCTCTGACACCACTTGTCAAGGAAGTAGCCATCACCTTCAAGAAAGTAACTGCTGGTTCACACAACATAGAAGACAAAGTGTAATACATTTCCTGTTTTATTTTTTTTGTCAAATGTAAAGTTGTATTGGGTATCAATCTTGGTTGCAATTAGTTGACAAGTAAATTGAACCCATGAAGCACACTACCTGGATATATTCTTAAAATAATCTAGGGTCAGGAATATTTTCCTATAAAATTTTTGGCTTCACATTTGGGTACAAATTTAAAGCCAAAAGTTCTGCAGATTTCTTTGGTAAGATTGGGAATTATGTACAGGTGTATGGGTTGCTTTCTAAATAAAGATGTAGGAGGAGGAATAGATTTTTGTTAAAATCTTGATTTTTATACCAAAGTCTTAAATTGGAATAAACTAATTATTTTTTTTGCAAACCTAATTTTCGTTTCCATGATACACCTTGTTTAATCCTCGCATAATCACATGACTTAATATTACAAAGTGCAATACATAATCTGCTGCAATTAAATTCAATGTGAATTCCTCTGAATTGGTAATAAGTTAATCATATGTATTGTTTTACTGCCAGAACTTCAGAATTTATTTTACACATTTCTACCCTTGGATATGGATGAGCAAACATCACCGCTTTCCCAAATTCTGATCTATAAGACATTTAATGAGTATATTATTTTTAGGAAATATAACTAAGATAATACATTGTTCCTATGCAAATAACTGGGCTCACTGGGGATAATTAGGGAACTTTCCCTCTGTTTTTGAAGTACAGTATACTCACGACATGAAGGAATATTTTTCAGTGATGGTCCCTCAATATCTTCCCTGTACAATACAGCTCTTGTACAATTGAAATGTCAAGGGGGTCCTGGTGGAACAGTTGGGTTTGTTCCCAGTGCACAATCTAGAATTCCGGGTTCAAATCCCGGGCAGAACAGAAATGATTTGGCATATTTTCTTTCACCTAATGTACCTGTTCACCTAGCAGTAAGTAGATAGGAGTTACTCGGCTTGTTGTGGGGTTGCATCCTGGTCGGGATCAGTAATTTGACCTGGGGAGGGGGGAGAACTCGATATAAACCTAATGTGTGTGAATACACTCTGGCATCCTGTCCCCTGACACAATGAATTAAATTGAATTATTTGCAGTATTAACAGGCCTCTAGAATTTTGAAGGCCTTTGGAACAATTTGGTGAGCTAGCAAGTGGTTTTGAGTTGATCTTGTTTCCTTAGATCAATGCCAAACAAAATAAAATCACTCAGAAAGTAAAGCTGAAGAAAAACAAACCATGTACGTTTTATTAGAAACAATTAAAAAAGGCCATTTTTTTTTTTTTTTACACCCTGGTGAATTAGCATTTCTTCTGACCTGGTTGTCCTGTAGGGGTGTGGTCATGCTTAAAATGAATTTTGTTCCCATGTGCTTCCCAATTGTGTTTATACTCCCCATCTTGCTTGTCTTTTGTTGATTCATTTGTCCCGTGTTTGTTTCAGAGTTGCCTTCCCTGATGTAAGGTTGCATTTCCTTCATTGTTAAAATGTTTGGCTAAGATTCAGACTGGGGTATTTGGCATCGAACCAAGTGTTACATGTTGAATGTTTCCCATCCATAGGAGGTCTGTGTTCTATTAGGCACATTTCCAGTTGCAGAGTTCCTCCTTTCCTGAGCCCTGGGTTTCTGACATTATCCCACAGATCAGACCCTATTTCTCTGTTCCATTATTAATCCTTTGAGCCACTGATGAAAGTATGCATTTGAGGAGTTATTGAAGACCAGTTAAGTAATCAAGCATTGAATAAATGAAATGTCCATTTCTGGGTGGCCTCAATTTGCTCTGCTGAGCTTTACATGTTCTGTACTCGGCTTGTTTCCCCCATTGTGAAGAATTTTCCCCAGCCCATCCCCAATCCTTATTTGAAGTGCTATATAGTTGTAATGGCTTGGGACTTTTCCCTGATAGGTCCCTTCCCCATTGGGATCAGGTGCGTCTTGGGAGCAGCACGTGAGTGAGGAGGCAGGCAGGATGGACTCCTGGGTGACCTGAGCTGCCACCTAGTGGTGTGCTTTGGTAATATTGCATGGCTTATTTACACGAGATAAAATAATGCTTCCCTTGTGGTGTATCTTTTCTCTAATCAAAATAGGTACAGTAGTTTATTTTGCTATGGCTGTACTTTCTTGGCAGTTTTACCTGCTCTTGGATTGATTTCAGATCCCCGTGCTCCCTCACCTCTATGAGCACAGTAGGTTCAGGTCCTGGTGTTCAGTATGCCTGTGTAAGTTCAGAGGCCTGGTAGTCTTGTGTGTGTCTTTGTGGCATCAGAGCCAGTGCACTAGGAAGCTACTGATTAGTGGAGCATTTCTTGCAGCTCCTACCTTAAAGTTCTTGGTATTTGAAATTGAAGCAAAGTTTCAGCATTATATAACCTTTAAGTGATGTCATTCTCCGTGTACTTGCAGGTAGGCATGCAAAAATCAATATTGTTAATACAGTATGGATTCAGTACTGTATATATAATATTTTATTGTTGTGTATTGTGCATGCACCTGCTTGATGCTGTTGTCCAGAATATAACAAGATGACCCTTGACCAATTTACTGATGATTAAAAGTTCACCTAGTACAGAATTTTTCAGTCTCATTAAAATATTGTAATGATATAATTTGTGATATTTAAAAAAAAATACTGTAAAAAACAAAACATTAATTTAGTAGACAGCTGCCTGAATGGGTACTCCCATTTTGGCTGACAAATACAGTACAGTGAAACCCCTTAAAATTAAACTACTGTATTATTCTGGACCTTATCTGAATTTGGGAAAAATTTGGTTATTTTGCCTGCTTTGATTCTGAATCGTATATTTTTTGGTTCATATAAAAATGAACTAAATTTGTAAATTTTACAATTGTCCAACATTTGTGTATAGCAATGGGAAACCTGTCTCACCAGTACGTGAATAGCATGTGTACAGTAGTGTGTGTGAATCAAAGTTTAGGGTTAAAAGTTTAAATGGGGGCTATAATGGATGTTTACTTATGTCTCCTACAAGTTCAGTACAGAATTATAGATCTTATTACTCATATATGACAGATTATATATGACAAATATTACTAATATACTGATACATATATATATATATATATATATATATATATATATATATATATATATAATCTTTGGACAACACCCACCAGTGGGACTCGAACCCAGAAAGCACAACTACCTTCCAGTAGCTGGCATAACTAGTATGCTTTAACCCACTACGCCATCAGACCTTACAAAAGAAGTAGATAGTTCGAGATATATATATCTCAAACATCTCTACCTCCCGAAGGCACCAGATGAGTGAGGGGTCAGTCTGCAATTTTCGTCAAGCCACTGTCAATGTGAGAGAACTCGTGTCCAGCTTATAAGCCTATACTTGCATAAACCACAAGTGAAGATAAACAATCTTTGGACAACACCCACCAGTGGGACTCGAACCCAGAAAGCACAACTACCTTCCAGTAGCTGGCATAACTAGTATGCTTTAACCCACTACGCCATCAGACCTTACAAAAGAAGTAGATAGTTCGAGATATATATATCTCAAACATCTCTACCTCCCGAAGGCACCAGATGAGTGAGGGGTCAGTCTGCAATTTTCGTCAAGCCACTGTCAATGTGAGAGAACTCGTGTCCAGCTTATAAGCCTATACTTGCATAAACCACAAGTGAAGATAAACAATCTTTGGACAACACCCACCAGTGGGACTCGAACCCAGAAAGCACAACTACCTTCCAGTAGCTGGCATAACTAGTATGCTTTAACCCACTACGCCATCAGACCTTACAAAAGAAGTAGATAGTTCGAGATATATATATCTCAAACATCTCTACCTCCCGAAGGCACCAGATGAGTGAGGGGTCAGTCTGCAATTTTCGTCAAGCCACTGTCAATGTGAGAGAACTCGTGTCCAGCTTATAAGCCTATACTTGCATAAACCACAAGTGAAGATAAACAATCTTTGGACAACACCCACCAGTGGGACTCGAACCCAGAAAGCACAACTACCTTCCAGTAGCTGGCATAACTAGTATGCTTTAACCCACTACGCCATCAGACCTTACAAAAGAAGTAGATAGTTCGAGATATATATATCTCAAACATCTCTACCTCCCGAAGGCACCAGATGAGTGAGGGGTCAGTCTGCAATTTATCTCGAACTATCTACTTCTTTTGTAAGGTCTGATGGCGTAGTGGGTTAAAGCATACTAGTTATGCCAGCTACTGGAAGGTAGTTGTGCTTTCTGGGTTCGAGTCCCACTGGTGGGTGTTGTCCAAAGATTGTTTATCTTCACTTGTGGTTTATGCAAGTATAGGCTTATATATATATATATATATATATATATATATATATATATATATATATATATATATATATATATATATATATATATATATATTATACATATATATTATATACATATATATTATATACATATATATATATATATATATATATATATATATAATATATATATATATATATATAATATAAAAATATAAGTACAGTACACACACACACTTTTCAATAATGTAGGTTTTTAAATGTAGAATAAAGTTTGTCCATTTCTGTTTGATCCACGCTGATGTGTTTTACTTTATGAAGATAATTAGGATGATTAAATACATTGTTTTTGCTTTCAGAGAAATATTAGATACAAGAGCATTCATCGTAAATATGGAATTTGTTTGGTGCTGTATTATTCTTATTCTAACGTATTTTCAGATACAGTATTTCTAACTGGAGTTTTACTTCGTTGTGATTGTTCACAATGATTATAATTTTGCTCATGAACTCCTGACACCTCATATTTCCTTTAATCTTTGCAGTGTCTTCACTGTTACGTCTTTAGTACTTGCTGTACTTGAAATCTCAAAACATTTCAAGTCATTCCATGCCAATAGTCTTTGGATTGTCAAGCTTGATACAATAGATTAAAATCACATGTGTTATATTTTAGTAGAATATGTTCTGAAATATACTATAGCAATGTCTCCGTGGTGTAGTGGTAAGACACTTGCCTGGCGTTCCGTGAGCGCTATGTCATGGGTTCGTATCCTGGCCAGGGAGGATTTACTGGGCGCAATTCCTTAACTGTAGCCTCTGTTTAACGCAACAGTAAAATGTGTACTTGGATGAAAAAACGATTCTTCGTGGCGGGGATCGTATTCCAGGGACCTGCCCAAAACGCTACGCGTACTAGTGGCTGTACAAGAATGTAACAACTCTTGTATATATCTCAAATGAAAAAATTGCATTGTGAATATGATTTTGCCAGTATGGGAAGAGTGCCCGTAGAATGCTATAGTTTATTCTATGAACTACAATGTTAAGTTCATCTATGCAGATGTTGAAATGTTAGGAAGCTGCA